AACCCGAAAACCAAAAATTAAAGGAAAAACAATATGTATGTATGTATGTATGTATGTATGTATGTATGTGTATATATGTGTGTGTATATATGTGTGTGTATATATATATATATGTGTGTGTGTGTGTGTGTATATGGCAGAAACAACTTCTTTTCTTTATAAGCTATCATTGTTTTTCAATGAGTTACCGTTTATTTTTTTTTTTTATGTCGCGGTGGATATTCATCTTCATTTAGAATTTCTAGTGTGTAAGAAGATTACTGTAGGGATAAATTACCACCGGCCTTTTACTTGGTTGAGGTTATTCATCAGAGTATTACTCAATGATTTAAACCTGTATGGGAGAAGCCAACGGAAGTCCACCAAGGACTTCATAACCAATCTGAGGTTGTTTGTTGGAGCATTGCTCACTTATGAACATGTGTGGAAGGGATCAGGTGTAGCCCACCAAGGACTGTTAACCTTTCTAGGGATGTTTATTATGTTAACCCATATGGAAAAGGTGAGATCAAATCCCCCCATGATCGATATTGCTCTGACTAAGATTCAACCGAAGTTGCATATTTCTCGGGTCGAGAGCATAAAGTGACTCGTGAATAAGTTGTTGCACTTTCTAAAGATATTCTTTTTTGCAGAAAAAAACAAGTGAATAATATTTAATAAGTCTTAGATACATTGACATTGTATGCAAGACGAAGCTAATAGACATGGATTATATGACTGGAGTGTTACTGGTAGTATTTGCGAAGATTCTCGGCATTTCAAGTCTGAGGGAGGATTTTCCCATCCAAATATTTGAGCTTGAAGTTCTGGGCTTTGATCATGGCAGCCACAATATGTGGGCCTTCCCATAGAGGAAATAATTTGCTACGCTGTGACCATGATCAGCGGCTTCGATACTACGCAACATTAGGTCACCGATGGAGATAGGTCGAGGCTTCACTCTTCGATTGAAGTGGCAAGAAATTCTTTGGCAATAGGAAGTAGCTCTAATGTGGACCACATCGCGTATTTTCAGGAGAAGATTGAATTGTTGTCGGAGCTTTTCTTCATTCTTATCCAAGTTGAAAGTCTTAACATGTGGGTTTGTAACTTTGATATCAACAGGGATGACAACTTCGGTGCCGAAACATAAATTATATGGAGTTTCCCCATTTAGAGTTTATGTGGTGGTGTGATAGGCCCAGAGGACGTTATGCAGGTCTTCTACCCACTGCCACCAACCTTCTCAGGATAAGTTTTCAACCCCTTGAGCACCGTCTGATTTGTCACCTTTGTCTGTCCATTCGTTTGGGGATGCGCCACGACAATGTGCAACAACTGAATGTGAAGATGCTTGCAAAATGATGAGAAGACCCATCTAGTGAATTGAGTCTCATTATCAATGATAATCTTCGCAAGAAGCCTGAAGTGACAGATGATGTTTTTCCAGAAAAAATGTTTGGTATTTACTTCAGTGATCTTAGCATGCGGCTCAGCTTCTATCCATTCGGTGAAGTAGTCGACAACTAAGATAATGAATTTTTGTTGTCTAGTAGCTATTGGAAGTGGCCCCATGATATATATCCCCCATTGGGAGAAAGGCCAAGGACTCAGTAATGACGTGAGTTGTACTGACGGTGCATGTATAAGATTGGAGTGTACATGACAATTCTTGTATTTTTGCACAAACTCTAATGCGTCTTGTTTGATCGTGGACCAGTAAAAGTCTTGTCTCATTATTTTAGAGCAAGAGCCCTGCCCCCAAGATGCTCCCACATATTCTGAAATGAACCTCTCGTAATGTGTAATCAGCTTCAAATGGAAGAAGACACTTAAGGTATAAACCTACAAATGTCTTCTTATAAAATTCATCCTCAATAAGGATGAAGTTAGCAGTCATGTGTCGGATGCAATTTGATGTAGTAGCATAATCTGGCAGTGTTCCGTCTCAGATGAAGGAGAAGATGGGATCCATCCAAGATGGCTCCCTTGGGTCATCTATAGATAATGCCACTCATGGGCCCTAAATGCTAAGAAAATTTATCTCCTCAATACACCTTATTTTATAGAGATCTCCAATTTAAAATACTAAGTTTGCTACTGTTATATATTGAATGCTCTATTTTTTATAACTAACCTTATTGAAAGTGTTCTCGCATTATCAGGAGGGATAATTAATCATATGGGTTTGCACTAATGGGAAACCTCGAACCCTAGAACAAAAAGTCCTTGTTAAATGAGGGTGAAATCTCTGAGTAGTGTTCTTATCTACAATTCAATCTACCTTTGGAAAATTTGACCCTCCAAAGCTTTCTAAAAAAAATAATAATAAAATAAAAATAAATGTAGAGAGTTTTCCTGGGGAATAGTCGTGAATTTTTGGAGTCCACAAACACTTCAAATTTTACTTGGTTGTTTATTAAACTAAAACTTTACCTGTTACAAATTTGACAAGTACATTATGAGATCGATAAGCAGACTCTAATTTCGTATATTATTGATTGGCATGCATACTTCCGTGATTGTCGATTGTCTCGCAAATGATTTCAAGCATCAATCGATTCACGGACTCAAATATGTATATTACTTGAATAATTTGCATAGTTGACCCGTGCTTCACAGCATCGCGGTCATCAAGAATAAGCGACATTTTAGCGCTTCATTTATTCTAAGTGGGCAAACTATTGATTTGAGTGAAGCGGTTTGATCGTAGAGATCAAATCTATCCCTACAAGATTCTAAGGATAAAATTTTAAACCTTTTTGGCCCTCCGCCTCGATGATTTCTATAGAGAAAGTAGTGTTCACTTGATATCATCCAGAAGGCTTCAGTTTGTCTTCTTTCTTGTTCATACTCTAAGGGGTCCAAACCAGCGCCGCCAAGATGGTATATCTCATCCTCATTTGTTATTGCAGGGGATGAGGTCCTTCTCACACCAATGTTGAGTACTCTCCTTAAATGTGTTGTTGATTCATAAGGAGGACCGAGTACCCACTTTTTTCGGATTGTCATTGGCACTTGCTTTAGCATCTCTCTTATTACTATTATGATATGCTATTTTAGCTCATTAGTTTGTTGTGTCATAAATATCTGGTGCAATCAATATTGCTAGTCATTTCTCTATTACTTATCTTTGATCCATATATGACTCTTCTTCTTACTTATGATATGAAACATACTCACAAAACCTTTCAGGATGTTAGATCTCAATTTATCTATGAATTGACACTACCGAAAAGGGAGCTAAAATAAGGAGTTTTAAGAAATTTTAATATGAAATAAATTGGAAAAATAAACTTTTTTAATCTCTAGGGATCCTCCCCTAATCACCATATTTATAAATGGATTAGCTTATGCTTTAAATCAAATACTTGTTACACTCAAATTCTGAGAGAATCCAGATATATCTCTTATCTTCTTATAGCAAGGGCATTATAATTAATAGTAACTTAACCCAATACGTGATAACTTTTTCGTATAATTTTTTTTCCTCGAATTTAACATGTTGGTGACGCCACTATCAATCGACTCAGTCATAGTACGAGTTAAGCTTCTTAGGCAACCAGATCTAATAGGTAGTTCAGCTAACCCAATCATGGGGTGAGTTGAGTTCTCTTATGAGTTATCAAGCTACCTCAATCTAGTCAAGCATTTGTGTGTGGATCATCAGAAGCGAGCTACTAGTCATAACTCTAAAATTGAATTGATTGGTCGTAGTAATTTAGTTGAACTGCCAAATCACCTAAACGAGCGGTCTCCCTTTACATCCATACCTATTTTAAACCTGATCTCTAGTCTGTCAATCATATTATATATATATATATATATCATATATATATATATATATAAAAGGGATGTGAGCGAGCGTTAGACGGCTCGGGCTCGACTCGATAAATGACTCCTGAGCTAAGTTCGATGAGCTAACAAGCCCCAACTTTACTGATTAGCTCGTGAGTTGACTCATATACATATATATACAATATACTCAAAATATATTTAATTTGAAGACTTTATCTTTAAATTATTAAAATATTTAAAAAATTATTTTTTATATTTTATATCTAATAATTTTTTTGTTATTTATCTCATATTTATTAATTCTATGTTATTTTATCATAACACTAACTTAAATTAATATTGATTTCTCTCTATGATAAACAAGCTGCCTCGTGAGCCGACTCGACCTCGTACTTAAGCTCAAGCCACTCTGGGTTGAGCTCAATTCGATTCATTTACTCCCCTAGTTGGAACCCTACTTTAGTGTAGCGGTGTAAATGAGTCGAGCCGCGCCGGCTTGAGCTCGTTTCATTAACGAGCCAAGCTCATCAAGCTACGAGCTAAGCTCCAGCTCGTTCCGACTTGGTTGATTGGCTCGATTAGCCTACCGTTAGTCATTTCGATGCATTTTTCAGTGAGCTACTGTTGCATCCTCCTTCGGCCACCAATACCTTCTTTGATGAGCTCTCGTAAAAGAATGAAATTTTAGGTCTAGCTCACAAGGCGGCTCACAAGGCGGCTCACAAGCCGTTTGCTACCACTACGAGCTGAGATCGAACTCATGCTGACAATTTTGCAGACAAGCCGAGCTCGATAATGACATCACTCAAGCTCAACTCGACTCATTTACACCCCTACTTTTGTGTAATATCCAATATCCTAGATCACAAGGCCTAATTGCATAATTATAAATTTGAGAGACCAGTACTTCCCTATCAAATTACTCCATTTTCAAAATTTCACCTATCCATCAAATTTAAAAAAAAAAAATCCATCCATATATAAACTACAATATCAAGACAACCTTTTCTATTCCACAATACTATTTTGTTTGTAAGGAAATAACCAATGAATGATGATTGCTATCTCAGATGCAGGAAAAAAATACTTTTGCAATTGCAAATCAACAAGAAATGCTTTTTATTTTGATCCATGTTCTCCATAAATACGAAAAGCAAATGGAAAGATTCAAGCAGTTGCTTAAAAGGAAGGATCAGTACTAATGATTCTGCTTCTCAATATTCAATTAGTAAACTTCTCTACCATATCAACAATATATTTCATGTCCCCAAGTAATCTATAAGTATTTGAGGCATTCAATGATCGTGCCTCTCAATCATATAAGTTTTGAATGAATTACAACAATGATTAACTGTAAATTAAAATGGAAAAATAAAAGCAAATATGTACACAAAGCCAGGTATGACTATCACCAATGGTAAGAAAAACTAATTTACAACAACGCCTATAAGAGAAAAAGGCAAGAATACTGAAGATGAGAAGCATGCAGCTCCGAAATCAGCATAATCAAAACGGAGCACAGCTATAACAGTGCACATCTTCATGTTGTGTTCTATGATAACAAAGCTGCAGCTACCAAGATATGCACAACAGTAGCTACAGAGCTTAAAAGTAGCAGTTTTGGATATTTACCAGATGCCGACGTGTCCAGCTGATTTGAATTGAGGTATTCGTTCTTACCTGAACTCGTCGAAACATTAACAGGCTGAGAACCTGAAACAATTTGAATGAAGGGTTATGTCAAAATTGAGACACGGCTGGAAGAGCATGGTTGGGAAGAAGAGGAGATTGATTTCAGTAAAACTTACAGTCGTAGCTTGTCCAGCCGATCCTTTGGTTAGCCAGGTCATAAACAACTACCTTATCCTTAAGAATGATATCTGCAAAAATGTAAAATCAATATCTCAAAGGTTAGCTTATATGTATAGCATAATTCAGAGTGTCATGTAAATATGAATGATTCACTTAAATTCTAGTTTAAAAGAGAATTCTTCACTTGAATAAAGATGTTTCCATTGTTCCGTTGTGGAGCCTGATTTTTTAGCTACTGAAGAATGTGCTACGCAGAATTAGGCGTGGTATCTAACATTTGGGGCCATCTTATGTTTATACAAAAAGAACTAGAATAGTATTTTTCCATAAATAAACTATAGTTACACTTCTTTTCTATCTTCTATTCTTTTTCGCTGTTTGTGATTATATAAATTACACCTATTTCCCAACAATGTCACATTTTGATGAATAACTCAAAAGTTCCATGTTAAAACATTCCATCTTTATCTTAATTTATCATCATCCTCGACACTGGAGCACGTGGAAACTATTTTCAAATCTATCTACATCACATTAGATCAAGACTAGAACAAGTTCAACTCTGGATAACAGCACTTCCATTAGAGTAATGACACTCTTACTCTTTCCAGCTCTCTAAATTAGGAAAACATTTTCCAGATAGGCTAGGTTCTTCTAGTCAGGCTGGATTGCAGCAAGCTTTCAGACAAAACTATTCAAAATATGAGGTTGATGTATGAGAGAATGCAACCATTGTGTCAAAATCATGATTTACGGATTATTGTATGTGAGATTGAATCATAATTATGCCATATATTACTTTTTCTATTGATTTATCTTGGATATCTTATATATCTTTCTCAAACGAATATATCATGAACCCAAAGTCTACTGAAAAGCATGCATTAGGTATAGACAGCGCAAACCGCCTGGAGTTAATACATTTGAGCTCCAATCATGTTTAGCCACAATCAATGCTATTTAAGAGAAAAAAAGTGCTACATGAATTTTTTTTGGTGTTTACCACATATCGATATCCATGCATATTCTTCTAGCAGTGCCCCACCAATGGGATTGCTCACAGAATTCCTTAAGTTTATAATATGACCACCATTAAGGAGGACGAGACGACATCCTCATAGACGAGCATTGGATCAAGATAAATCCTCAAGAAAGGGGAGCACAAGGGCAGTATGAGTGCGACTCCCACTAACTTTAACTCGAGAACTTCCACGTGGCAAAGAATCAACATGTGTCAAGGTTTGGAGAAGAAAAATAATATAAAGAAACCACTTTCTATTTGGTTGGCTTTGCCATGTATAACTTTTTGGTTGGTTATGAGGAAAGTATATGTGCGTGTGAGCGAGTATGGGTGATGATTTAGGGAGAGAGGGAACAACAATAACAAGCCTTTAACCCACTAAGTGGGGTCGACTACATGAATCTTTTTCTCTATTATGTCCTACTGAGTTGAGTGTCATATTTTCATTTAATTCTGATATATTAAGATCATTTTTTATACAATATGTCCAAGTTTTTTTAAATCTACCTCTATCTTTCTGACCTTAAGTCAAATCTAAAACATCTACTCTCCTAACAAAAGATCATTAGATGGTCGACATTTAATGTGAAGAAACCATCTAAGATGACTCTCTCTCATCTTGTCCGTCACTGAAGCTACACCAAACCTATCCCGGATATATTCATTTCGCATTTTGTCTCTAACTAAGTTCCAAGCCATTCATCCACCTAAGCATTTTCATCTCAGCTACAAAAAAATTGAAACAAGTTTTTTTTCTCTTAATCCGACTTTTTCCTCTAACCATTCTCTTCAGTGGAGCTGCAAATTTTATTAAATCATTTTTTATTTCAGATTTCTTACAAACTGTGCTCCCCTCGAGCCATACACTTGAATGGTCCTATGGCCATCGAGATCCAATTAAGGCACCAAACTACATCAGACATTTCAGCCAACTGTCCATCATCATTCCCTATGGTTGACAGTGCAAGATCTGCAATCAAGAAGAACAGCCATTTCAACAACATTGAAGACCAACTCAATTCCATCAGCATTGTTCTCCATGAAATCCACCTTCAGTTCACACTACTTGAAGCAAAAAGTGGACCAACGATATAAAGCTAAATATATACAAGACGATTACAACGCCACCACATCGCAATGCAAGCATGTTGAAACCCATGGGGTGGGAACACCATAAAGGCAACTCACCTTGTTGCTCTAAAGTACCGAACTGGCAACTCAAAAAATAAGAATATACAAAATTGATAGGTCACACAGCCTCGACACACTCAATAAGAAGATAAGTCATTTCTAGAATCATTTAACATGGATGAGCAGCCAAAGGACTGGTATCGTTGGATGGCCAAAGCAAAATGGCTTACAACGTTAGAAGGTTTTCTTAAACTCTATGAATATGTTTAAATCAATCCAAGTATTTAGACTTGCATAGTGATTTGACCAAATTGTTTCAGACAAGTTGAATCTTCAGCTTCAATTATAGTTTAAACAACTCTCAAACAAGGTAACTGATGCCGGTGAATTTTAACAGTTTTTTTTCAATCCAGCTTGAAATTCTTAAAAAAATTAAGAAAAAAAGATCGGCTCTTAATTGATCAGAAATTTCGAATCAGGAAGTCAGGTTAGCAAAAAATTATTGAAGTAAATTAAATCAAACTAAGTTCCCATCATCAAAATCCTTAAAACCTATCTTACTATGTTACCAACACCAACAAAGCTCTCCACACCGACAACAACAAAAACTCTAACCACATCTACCAATTGGTTGGCAATGGAATAACATTAACATGCACATTTAGGTGCTCAAGCATACCCTTTACTCTCCAAGCTCATCAATTCTAAGTGGGTTTATTTGTGCTTTCAATACATAGAACACAGGTTGTCATAGGTGTGCAATGGATGCAGCTCTTTGCATATGTGATTCTATTGGCGAGATAAGAATATCAAACTCTAGGAAAACAAAGCACAAACATTGTAAGCATCCAACTAAACTAATTATGGAAGTTACACTCTGAACATTCCATTATTTCTTTGTTTCAACTCACAACTAAATTTCGAGATGCTTCACAACAAAAGAAATCCGCACAACAACTTCAAGGAGAGCGACAACAAAAACTCTACTCAAGAAAACAAGACCTGGGCCGCCCTCATATAGCCATGAAGATCATCACATCAACCTCAAGCTAGTAATACAACTAATAGATATACACCTATATCATTATCCCCATTTTCAGAAATAAGGAATGGCGAAATTAGTCACAATGCTAGCATCAATTGTTATTCATCCATTCAACCCCATTTTCCTTCCTCAAAAATACTTAATTTATGACTAGTAATTATGATCATGTTGGAATGTTCAGCATACAATTATACATGTATACATATAAATATATGTACAAACACATCTACTTAATAATTGATGTCATTGTTAGCAAGCATGAAATAATGAATGCCTGAATACTTGTTCCAAGAAAGCATGCATGCCATGAATGCATTCAGATAAATATGTATATGCCCATACATGATTGTTATTCATATTCAGGTGCATAATCTACGTAAGCAGGCGTGCGTAGATGGATGTATTTCTGGGCAGATGGGCAAGTTAGAATCTCTAACTAGAATGAAACTGTTGTCTATTCAATGAGCATTTAAAAGCATGCCTGCACGTATTAATTTCTTAAAAAAGAAATTGTCTACCAACCTCCTAATATAGTTATCCCTTCACCATCACTCTTTTGCCAGCCGATACACCAAATAATGCCATTACCCTAAAAAAGAATAAACAGCATGATCATCAGAGTTTTAACTAAAAACGGTAGATCAGATAATTTACATATTTATGTAACCACCAAGAAGAAAATTCTTAGAAGAACACGAAAAAGACAACTTACAGCAGAGCCCTGCTGAAAAAGGTAGTCTTCCGGTTTCAATATCATGGATGCATTTCCCATAAAATTAAGTGAAACTGGTGGAAAAACGTCATCAACTCTGGCATGGAAGAAGTGTTATAGAACTTAAGCATAGAACATAGGACGATTGCACTAAGCATGCCAAAACTCATAAAAACATGATTTTTAAGGAAAATAACCTGCTAGCTGTGAGAAAGCACTGATTTCCTTTAGCAACAAATGAATTTACTAGTGTTTGTGAAACTGAAGCAACAATCTACAAATTATAGGAGTAAAATAACATCAAAAAAAGTGATATTCATCAATGCTTATGCATCATGTTCAAAATATATAACTCGTCATGACTAAAACTATAGCACAAACTAGAACCATTAAAAAGGCAAAAAAAGTAAATATATTTGCATTCCTAAGGTAAAGCAGAATTTACAATAGTTTAAGCTAGAGATTTTTGACAAGCATCAGCGGTCACCGATAAAGTGGCATGGTACAATAAACCTCGTTAAAAGAGTAACAATGAAAATTTAAAGGTAACTTCTAAAAAAGAAAAAGAGACCAATATTTCAAATATTTTGGGAATGAAACCAAAGTGCTGAACTGTATCAAATCGTTTAAAATTCATTTATATAAAAATTGAAGACCAAGATATGTGTTCACTTACTGCATTAACAAAGGGATCATATGCTTTTTCTGCTAGATAGGCCAAGGTAGTGCCAGAGTCAACAATTGTTCCTTGTGTATTTGAAGTTGTAAACACTGACGAATCGATGGATAGTGTTTGCCCATTGACGGAAATGCTTTCAAGATTTAAGTTGTAGTGAGGCCTGAATAAACATAGAGTAAGCATTCACAAGCTTGAAGATATGACAAATTTTAGATAGGAATTACAGCTTTCAAAGGTTATTTTTTCATTTATTTACTTACAAGTAAATACATACATGTCCAAATAAAAAAATAATAATATGCATTGCACAAAACCCAATCTATTTTTAAGACTAGCATAAGTTTTATCAATTAAAAAACTTACACAATGCATAATGCACAGGACAAAAAACAAAGTTCTTCCAAATAATTGTAAATTTACTTCCAACCCAGTGTAAATGGCAAAGAATCACAACTGAAACCATAATGTAGGTGGAAATGAAGTAAACATCATACATAAAATGTCAAAAATATAAATAAATCTGAGCCTGGGTGACACTCCAATTCTCCAAAATCCAATTACCATAATAATTCAAAAAAATTTAGAATTTAAAATTCTCAAGGAACCAAACAATATATGGTGTCACTAAGCTTTTCTAAAAGGGAGATTTACACACATAGCACAAAAAATTATCCTATTTACATATTTAACTTCTAAAACCTATTATTTACATAATATAACACTAAAATAAATTTATTCCCCCGTTCACTGCTATTAAAACCACCAATAACAAAAAATTGAGGAAGTCGCAATGATTTCACTAGGACCAAGAAAAGACGAGGAAGTTGCAATGGGATTTCACAAGGAAGGGCATCGATGGGGCTGGTGGTGTGAGGGCTGAAGAATGGGTAAGAAAGTCCCAACACTCTCGCTGGTGAAGGGATTCCTAAGGACAAGCAAGCATGTGAAGGCTGACGAAGAGGTGGACAACTAGCAACAAGATCTCTTTGGCAAAGGGCATCAAAAGGACCAACAGCTTTTAAAAAATAAAGAGTTCGATGATGGAAAGTTAATAAAGAGGGTTAATAAAGGCGTTATTTTTATTGTTAATTAGAGAATTAAGTATCCTGTCAGTACATTGCAGTTTTTTTTGTTAAATATATGTTTTTACTGTTATGTATGTAAATTCTCCTGGTTGAATAACCAAAAAATAATTTTCATTAAATTCATTAACTAAAATATGAATGATGTTAAAAGTGAACCAAGCAAATGCCCTGGCGCTTAAGCAAAGTGAGGCAAAATCACAGTGCCTCAACCACTTCCAAGGTGGGAGTTATTATGCAGGCTTGCCAAGGCAAATGCCTTACCTTAGGGCACCAAGGATGCAGGCAATGAGTAGCTTTCAGGATAGATTTCATTTAGGAACGCAATAAAACTAGAAAACTCACTGTTTTGCTAAAACATAATTCAATGTGATAGTGATCATTTTATATTATTCAACAATATTTGTCGTAAATAAAAAAATTTTGAAGCAAAATATAACTAGTACTTTATAAGTGCCCGCTTCTGACTCAGGCGAAAGACAGTGGTAACAACTAGCTCCCCGGGCAGCCACATTGCCTTGAATGTGCTCAATGGCTTTGTAAACAACTAATATTTTAGAGAATCAAGTGATGTCTTTTTTTTTAAACAATATGATTTTCTACGGTACTTTGTTACAAAAGAAATAATAGCTGCTAGATGGAACAAGGCAATCAAAATGGGTTCGAGTATGCTTATTTCATATATTTTATCAAAGTTATGATTTGTTAAGTTCAAAAGGAGAGTATGTTAAGGTTAATGATTGCCGGAACTATGGAGTAGACGTGTAGAATGGACAGCAGGACAACTAAATATAGCTAGAATTCCTTTGATGGCCTGACAAAGAAAGAGGTGTTGTAAAGCTAACATAGATGTTGTTTGCAGAGTTTAGTCAAATTCGAATTAACCTTAAATGCAACGGTAAATAAGAATAAATTGTAATTTTCAATTCAGAAGCATTTAAGTCAATGCTAGAGCCAGAACAGAAAGTAAATGTAACTAGTTTGAATAAAATACAATTTACTTCTAAATTAAACCCAGATACAATTGATGATAATATGAAAATTCATTACTTATAATTATATTGGCAGAATATAATCATATGCTCAAGAACTGCAGCCATCACTCGAGTCTCTAAATTTTTAAGTTATAAAGTTATTTTTCATTGAAAAATGAAGATTTTAGTGGTTATGTTGCACAATGCGTGATCAGATTATGCGTAATGCCTGACAATTAGATAGACGATAGAATTATTAAAGCTTTATGTTACCATTATAATGAGCAGCAGTCAAAACTAGCATGGTTAAAAGTTGTCCAATAAACTAGCAAAATGGAAAAACGAGAATTAACACCACATGCAACCCTTTCCACAATAAACATTAAGATGGATCCAAGAAACCAAGAGTATTCTAATTGTGATCATCAAGACATTGAGTCACACAGTAGATACAGTTTTCTATCTTCATTGTGGCAACGACACATATAAATGCAAATATTTAGTGATGTGAACAGTGATCGTATCTTTTAAAAGATCAGGATGCCAAACTCACTAATATTGGTGAATTCAAGAATTATAAAAAATAATAATTGATAGTTTTAATATAGAAGGCTAATAATTCAACAGATTTAGAGAAATATTCATCAAGCATATAATTCTAACATCTGATATATCAAATTTCTCTGTAAGTTAAAGGTCACAGAAAAGTGTGGAAATTTAGCTAAGCAGGCTGACAGAATTAGTCTAGAAACTTCACTGATTCATGCCATTCACATATTTTTGGTAACCTAAGAAGTATTACTAATTGTTAAAAAAGCATCCTTAACTTAAATAAACAGTTCTCTATCATTATCATTAACCTTATTCCAACTATCTGCAATTTTAGAATTAGTAGAAACATTCAAATTCAATATCACCAGACTTAGTGTAAGATTTTATAAATTTACTTTTTATCCATGATATCATGTTTTCACACAATCCTTCTAAGGCACTTATCCATTTTAACCACTCAACCATAATTCTGGAAGTTACGTCATCGCATACATTTCTAGAATTCTATATAATAAATCCAAAACAATTTAATTTATCATGCCAAGTTATTAATTTCTCTTTTAATAATATTGATAAATAATGACAATTTCACTCCTAAAATTGCAAACAACATATTTAATCTTGCTCTACTAATTCTGATAATTTTATTGTCAAAACATTCCCTCCATTAAACTAACATTTTATGTATTATGGCAAATTATCCTTTGGATAAAACTATCAAAGCACCACCATTTAAACATCCCTTATAAGCATATTCATAATCAATAAAAAAATAAATGGAGTGTAAATCTTACTGTAACTAAAAATTACTTAGTAACTGCGCATCTTTTTTTAACATCTCCCCGATGACCACAAAGTAATATCTTATGATACTCACCTCATGCATTTTCAAGATCAATAGAAGTCAAATTTCTATCATTTATTTCCTCTTTATAATTTTCCATTAATGGTATTCTGCAGTGCATCTTCTTAACATGAAACCAAATTTATTCTTTGAAATAAACTTACCATCTCTCATATCTTCATTACATAACACATCAGTTTGATTCCTTGATGATTAGCATAATCATAAACACACTTTTTTTATACATTGGTGCCAAAAAGCTGCTTCGTCAGTAATTTGGATTACTCTTTGCCTTCTAAATTTCATTGAAAGGTTAACCAAACCACCATATTCCCATGGCTCCAAAATTCAATTTGATACAAAACATAAAAGGATTGACAGACTACCTTAATATATCATATATGTCAATTCCTGGGATAAAATTTATCAATAACAAATGCCAAACCACAAGTTGAGAAGTACTATCACATTTTCATTTTTTTCTCTGAACAAAACGGCAATAAACACTAAATGAAAATTTGAAATATGAGCAAGTGATTTGCGATCACTCCCCAAGCACCTCCACTTGTGGGGAGAGGTTAATTAAAAAGAGATTGTCTTTTATTAGCATAAAAGAGAAGAAAAGCATACAAGCAGCATTATGACTCGTTAAGAAAATAGCCACAACGTAAGTATATAATACGAACCTACACACAAAGCAACACAAGATCATTTACTTAGACTTTCACAATTAATTTAGTTCTATCAGTGCAAAAGTTTGTGCATAAGGACAAATCTATAAAAAAAAATAAGAAAAAAACTTATTTTTTGCATATAAGCAGAAGAACTTACTTTGATTGAACAAGTGGCGTATAGACAATGCCCGGTTCAACAATTTCTCCTAAAACAAGAATCCCCCCACCATTATCTGACCCTTTTAAACAATGAGAAAACACTTTTGGTGCAACTCCTGCAGATGACAACTGTGAGATAACAGATAATTCATGTTGTCCAAAACCGTATATCCCATCAATTGCTCGATCAGATTTGGTTAAGTCTCCCGACTGTGAATTGCTACATCTGCTCCAAATAAACAAATGATGGTGTATAATTCCCAAAAAAATAAAGAAAAAAAATGTCTACAAAACATTATATCTAATAATAAATTAAAAATCAATTCGCACAAAAAGGTATGAAACTTGTAAACTATTAACACTCAAAGGTCACCTAATTTGTCATGAGCATGAAACAATTATAGTGATAAGGGGCTCGGGAGTGGACCGGTTGGTCGTCAAGGAAGGGGGGCTGCCTCCCCTCCCCTCCTCTCTTTTCCCTCCTCTTTTTCCTCCTTCCCTTTTTCCTAGCTTTTCTTATTTTCTTATTTTCCTTCCTAGCACTTTCCTATTTAGAATGTCTTAAAACTGAAATCTGATTTTTATTCTCCTTCTCCTAATTTAAAACCTTTCCTAAAAGCCTTTCTCATAATTTAAAACCTTTCCTAAAAGGCTAAATCCTAAGTTTACTCTCTTTTTTGAATTTAAAACCCTTGCCAAAATTTGAGATCTTGATTTCATTTTTATCATCTTTCTTATTTTAAATATTTCCTAAGATAGGTCATGTCACTTTATAAATAGGAGAGGTTGTGCTTAGAATTAGATGTTTGTTTTATGAAATTTGAATTCAGTTTTATCTGAGTATTTTCCCTCTTGAGGGTAGTATTCGAGGTCAAAGTAGTGCTCCGTTTGTCCCTTGTCCGAGGTGGTGATCGTCACCACTGGTCCGAGTGGTTCTCCAATTCTATCTCGACTCCGCCGAGAGATTTATTTTCCCCTTACGTTCTTTTCCCTGTTGTCAGCTCCAAATCCATCCACCGCAACCCCTCCAACTTGCTGTCCAGCCCTTCCAGGCCTTCCCAGCAGCCGGCGACACCCATACAACAACTACCTTGCTATCCCGACCTTGCTCATTGCTTTCAGTGCTTCCCCACTTGTTGTCCACCCTCCGAAAGTGCTGGCAAACCTTCCAAGCTTCTATCCTACTTCTTCCACAGCAGCACCCACCTCTCCGGCCTTCACCGCAGCAGCTAATCTAGCCTCTGATGGTGTTCCTGCTCCTCTCCAGCTGTGGTTCGATGTCACTACCATTGCACTTTTGTTATCCTACTTCCCACAGCAGCATCACATCTCCGATTTTCACTGCAGCCGCCAATCCAACCTCCTACCTTACCAAACTCCCTCCTCATTAAGCGGTTGTGTCTTATTTGTTGAGTCATTAGTTGCAATCCTTTGTTTTGTGTTTTTGATTTGTGTGGTGTCTTTTCCTTATTTCAAGTCTATTGTAACATGCTTTTAAGTCGGTAATAAAATTATGTCATGCGTCGTGGTTTGGATTAACTCTGGTATCATTTGATATTTGATATCAGAGCTAGCCAGCTAGCCCAACCCTAGTCTCATCCTAGGGTTTCCTAGCATCCGTCATAAACCTAAATTTTCTTTCCTGCTACCGAATATCATTTCCACAACCCAAATCCTAATCCCGCCAAAAAAAAATATTAATATTTTATTCCTAAGCCTTAGTCATGTCACTAATGAGATACATGTTCAAGCCTACCCGGAAGGAGATACGATTAGAGATCCGCTAACTTCAACGGTGGATTACAGACATTGAAGGAAAATCTAATGGGAGGCTACCCCTCAACCATGAATCGAAAGGTCGAAGAGGGGGATGAGAAAGATATGAAGATAAAGCGGGAAACACTTCCTACCAACTTTCTACCACGAAAAGTTGCATACTCTAGCTTCTACAGCAACGCCACGCCCCCCAGCCCCCCCCCCCCCCCCCCCCAATCCGCAAGTCTGTCACAGACAGAAAATGTGGCAAGTGTCACGGATTTGGATATACGGAATCAGAATACACAACTAAGGGAGTGGTCTACTTCACCGAGCAGGTTGTCTTTAAGAATTTGGGCTAAGATACCGTAAGCACTAAAGACGGAGAAGACATAAACGAGGAGAAACCGCTTCCAATTAGAGATATGAATGGTGATCAGAAAGAAGATACAAACTTCAGAGAGGATTATCATTTCTCAACCGAGGAAGAGTCGCCTCAAATCAAGTTGGCCCCGAGATAGAGATTCCAGCTGAGGTAACAGAAGCCGCTTTAGAAGGGCTTTAGAAGGTAGTAACTCTGCAGCAATATGCAGCCTAGCAGAGCATGAGATTATGATGCCTCGAGCTGGCATCCCGCAAACGGTGAGAGGAATATCAACAGATAGGCCTTAGATGTCTACAAGAATTATGAACCCGAAAAAGCGAGAAGAAGATTTTTTAGATGTATAGACCCCTCTGGAGTTACCCCATAGGAGGGAGGTTCAAGCATGTCAGAAATGAGGTCATTGAGCAACAGATTGAAAACCTTACATAAAGTTATTCAGAGGTTACTTTCAAGTCAGCATGGGACGCATCGTCAGATGTCCGGACGGGGAAAATAAACCCAAACTTTGTAGTGGCCCCATGGAGTTCGATGGGGACGAAAATTCTGCAATGGGGTTCAGCTCCTATCTATGGGTAAGAGGTCTCTCCTGAAGAGGAGTCAGTGAGAGAGGTTGCGCCTGCAACAAATTTCTAACCCATAATGGATTTCTCCTCACATACTAGTCTATCAGTTGCACCCAATTGAATACAAGGAATGGAAGAAGCAGGTTACAAATAGTATGACACGATAGCTGATTCATGGGGATACTCGACTAGCTACAGTTCCAGCTCAAGTTGTGCCAAAGGTGGACGAATATCTCTTCTATCAAAATAAGCTTTGGAACGATTACGTCTACTTGTAAGACGTACCAGAGAACTTGACGGCGTACCACAAGGAGCCAGAAGCTTCGACCAATGAATTTGAAGCTTTCCCAACCTTGGGAGATCGAAACATAGCCCGGGAGAGGACCAATCGGTCCTCAAAGAAGTGTGGCTACTTCCCCCTCCCTCCCCTCCCCTCCCCTCCCCTCCTTCCTCTTCCCTCCTTTCCTTTTTCCTCATTTCATTTTTCTTTCCTTTCCTTCTTCTCTTATTTTCCTTCCTAGCGCTTTTCTATTTTAAAACATGTTATAAAACTTAAATCTGATATTTATTCTCCTTCTTCTAATTTAAAATCATTCTAAAGAACCTTTCTCCTAATTTAAAACCTTTCCAAAAAGCCTAAATCATAATTTTATTCTCCTTTCTTAATTTAAAACCCTTCTCAAAATCTGATATCTTAATTTTATTTTTATTCTCCTTCTTATTTTAAATGTTTCCTAAAATAGGTCATGTCTCTTTATAAATAGGAGAGATTGTGCTTAGAGTTAGAGGCATGTTTTATGAAATCTGAATTTAATTTTTTCTAAGTATTTTCCCACATGAGGGTTGTATCCGATGTCATGGTAGTGCTCTGGCTGTCCCTTATCCGAGGTGGTGATTGTCTCCACGGGTCTGAGTGGTACTCTAGCTACATCTCAACCCCGCCGGGATATTTATCTTCCCCCTACGCTGGGATATTTATCTTCCCCTTGCTGTCAGCTCTGAATCCAGACACCACAGCCCCTCCAACTTGTTGTCCAGCCCTTCCAGGCCCTTCCCGACAGCCCGCTGACACCCCTACAACATCTACCTTGTTGCCCCGGCCTTTCTCATCGCTGTCAATGCTTCCCCGCTTGCTGTCCACCCTTTGAAAGTGCTGGTAAACCTTCTCAGCTGCTGTCCTACTTCTTCCACAGCAGCCCACACCCCTCCAGCCCTCACCGCAGCCGCCAATCCAGCATCCGACGACGTTCCTGCCCCTCTCCAGCTGCAATTCGACGTCGTTACCAACCCCAATCTGCTGTCCTGCTTCTTCCATAGCAGACCCACCTCTCCGGCCTTCACCGCAGCCGCCAATCCAGCCTCTCCCCTCGCCGTGCTCCTTCCTCATCAAGTTGTTATGTCTTCCCTATTGAGTCATTAGTTGTAATCCTTCCTTCTGTGTTTTTGCTTTGTGTGTTGTTTTTCGTTATTTTGAGTCTTCATTGCAACCTTCTTTTAAATCAAAAACAAAATTGCATCATGCGTCGTGGTATGGGTTAACTCCGGTATCATATAGTTTCAATAAAAACATTTTTTTTAACTACAATGGATTATCATCATCCAAAAATCACCTCATGGATCTACTCAGTATTTCAATAAGTTGGCAAATGCAATAGTTAACAAATACAAGTGTGTTGGAATTTACCCAAAAAGAATGGTAGCTGAAGAGTTCAACCTTTGCTCATTCCCAGTAACTATGTCAAAGTGTAAAGTATCAGACACATAATAACCAGATGTACCACTTCCGTCACCATACTGGAAAGAGTAAGAACAAGAAGAGCTTGAAGAATCTGATGAGGAGCAGGTTGCCTCTCCAGTTTGGATGGCTGATGAACATCTTTGATCTGAGCAAGAGAGAGTTGAAGATGTAGATGATTGGTCCGGCTCAAAAGACTCCAACTTGATCTGTAAATTGAAAAATTTTGGCATAAAAAATATTCATTTGCAATATAACTTGAGATTCAATATAATATCCAAATTGAAGTAAAATTCCAAACAAGGCAACGAAGAAAAAATTATATGGGATATCCTGATACAGTTAGTATCAAATTGAAATAAAATCCAAAACAAGGTAGTGAATTCATTGAATGTGGGGTAAATTTTGTATCAGGATAATCTAATAGAACTTTTATTAGGATAACCTCATATATTTTGTATCAAGATAAGAAAACAAAATCTTGAAAATAGAGTATGTGTAAATAATCATAGAAAACAAATCGGACCTATTTTTGTCTTCCCAAAATATTTAAACTTTCTTTTCTAAATGCAAGTATTTGTCTTCTATGTTTTATTATTTTGTCTTCTTATCCGGGGATCCAATGCATCAGACAAACTTGAATATTTTTTTACCTTAAATGTTACTTCTTTTCTCATTTTCAAATCCAGCAAACAGTTTGGATAAAAAGAAACATGCAGATGGTACAAAAAACCTTACATTTAGCCCACTGCTAGTAGGGCAACCAGTACAAGGATTGCATGTCACCCAGAGGATATCGCTTCCAGTATCAATCTTCTGAACATAAAACTCCTTTGCCATAAAACTCCTTTGCAGGATTGCCAAGCTTCACACGAGTAAAATATAATCTACAAATAATATGAACAAATCAAAAACAGGAAAAAATACAGTAAGTTCACCCTTCCCCAAAGCAAACAGCTAACAAAAGCATTAAGCTTCAAAATAACAGACCATTTAACACTCTTCGATTATGCATGTCCTGAAAAAAAAGAGAATTTCAAGAAAAAAAAACACATAAAATTGACTTGATTTCAATTCCAGAATCGAAATTCCAAAAGACAGAACTAAAATCAACTTGAATTTAACAGGACGAAGTCGCAAGGGCCAATCCAGCGCTCAACAGCAATAAAACCATAAAACAAAATCGAAGAATAAAAAGTCAAACCAAGGGAGAAATCCCAAAATCATATAGAACAGATTTAAGCGCCATTTCAGTACCGTCAGCTCTCATCAACAACAAACCCGATAAACATAATTACACAATCCGATGATCAAAAACACAACAAATATATATATATATATATATATATATATATATACACACCAAAATCATAGAGAAAAAGAAAAGGACTCAACGATCATCAGACCATCGGAACCAAATTAATCAAACTCATACCCTACGGTGAAGGGATTCCAGGACCCTTCAACAGGGAAATCAACAACGCCGTAACTCGGCGCAGCTGCACCCTGTAGTATTCTTCGATGCCTGAAGCGATCCCTTGCCCTCAGCACCTCCACCGGCGCCTTCGTTGGCATCCCCCTTTCCAATACCATCGTCAGCTGAGACCCATCATTCCACGCCGCCGCCCGAATAACAACCAGAACCGCGATCACCGCTCCGGCGAAGACTCCATTAACCGCGGCCGCCGCCATCTCTCTCCTCTCCCGACAAGAATCCACAAAGAAAGGGAACAAAGAGCAAGAACTTTGCTCCGAGCTCCCTCTCAATCGAGAAGTTATATAAGGTACTCCATGCTAGAAAGAGAAAGTGAGAAATATCGAAGGAAGAAGAAGACGGAGTCTTCCTTGTTTGCCGTTTCGTAGGGTGGAACTCGAGGAGGAAGGAAGAGTAGGGAAGGCATTACGTGAGGGGCTCTCGCCTTTGAAACCAGCCGGGGAGAAGCGACTCGGGATCCGCTGTGTGCTCCACTGGATCGTTGATTGCGATATGATAACGTGGCGTGATGTTATTTGTTGTACTTTGTGTTTCACTGAGAAATTTGTATATTTGAATTTTCTTTGGAGCTTCAAAAGTCAAATTTTTGTTGTGATAGATATTAGAAACTCAGCCAAATCTAGCATGAGACTTTAAAATTAATTTATAATTCATTTCTGAGAGCAGACTTTTGTTTCATAAAATATTTCTTATAAGTTTGTTGAATTCATATTCGTAGAATTATAAGGGAGATGTAGAGAGAGAGAGACACACAGAGGGAGAGGGAGAGAGAACGAGAGATTATACACAAACTAATGCATGTGGGCGAATGGGGTGTTCTCTAATTCTGTGACTTATTTTATATATTAGAAGTGGTGATTACAAGAAAAAAGGGGAGAGAGAGTTTTCCCTAGGGATGTGGGTCTGGAGTGAAGAGCTAAAAACTCGCTAATGGATATTATGATCCTCCTATTTATAAAAGATGAAGGGACAGAGATATAAAATTAATTGTTTGACTCTACTTTAATAGGAATGTTATAGCTTATGTGATGCATTTTTCATATTCATAACTACCTTAGTAGGTTATTTTTTGTCTTTTGGTGTGTTTGGACCATCTACTCGATAGGTCCATGCGTGGTCAACTAAGCTAGGGTTGATGGTCTATTTTGTCTAAACATCAGTCGGCCTTCACTCTGAGAAGTTAGTCGATTTTGAGTGTGGTAGTAAGTCAACCTTAGGGTGGCCGATTGGTTTGTCTGATTATTATTCTTTGGTGATTTTTGGAGATCTTAGAGGATCTGTTGGAAGAGTTTTACGTTGATACTTATGAGATTGTGGGGGGTTTGACATCAGACCGGTTGTAAGTGTGGATGTTTGTCCCAGGTCAGCCTGGGTAGTGATGCGCCAAAAAATTACTCATTTTTGTATACATATTTTATACTCATTTTTTAAGAAAATTATGCTTTAATAAAAGGTTTTTCTTTATTTTTTTGTTGCAGGTGCAAGAAAAAGAGTTTACGAGCAAAAAACTACATTAAAAGAAAGCAAAATGAGCCAAATCAAGTTTATTGCCAAAAACAGTGGCAATATCCTTCCAAAAACATTCATATTATATATATATATATATATATATATATATATTCCCGATT